TCAATATCATGTTGTTTATCCTCAAATAGGACCTACCACGCCCACATCATCAGTTACTGAAGGTACGAATGAACCGTGTTATTCCTTCAGTATATGAACATGACTTTTCATAGTAKCCATAGCTAGCAGCAGGAGACATCATGCTRTACCCGATTTGAAAACAAACTCGAATAACCGGAATGCAATGATAAWAGAGCAAATTGTGTCAAAGCCTAGTCGTCCCGTGAGGCCATCACGAAACTCTGAACTAGAATAGATCGGTTATTTTATGTTAACGTACCAATTTACTTTTAAGTTTGTTTACTTTAAAGCCATTAAAGGACCACCACCACAAGAGTTTGAAAAATACAAAGGGAAATCTTGCTATGCAATGAGGCTGAAAGGCTCCACTTGGAACGAAGGCCAAGAAACCTGCAGTGACTTTAATAAAGGTGGTTTAGTTGTCATGGAAACAGAGGGTGAACGAAATTACATCAAAAGCATGATTCGTTTAGCTAGTAATAAGTTTGAAAATAAATGGTACATTGGTTTAAAGAAGGAAGGAGATTCTTGGAAATGGACCAATGACATTCCTGTAACATCAAGTCATTGGTCAAATGGTCAACCATCAGGCCAAGGGAACGTTGGTGTCATGACGTCCGATGGAATGTGGTTTGATGAGGATGGGACTAAACCATACGGTATCATTTGTGAATATGAATCTGGTAAGTCTTTAATTTCATGCACTGAACATACCAGAATCACTAGCGTTCCGTATCAGCCATTGTGGCTGTCCTATATCGGCCTATTAAAATATTTGCATCTTTCTATTCTAGACGGTGTATGTGTACAGCCTGGAGCTTCTTTTAGCTAATTCAGTGGAAAATGGGATGTGTAGGACTGTATATGCACTTGATTAAAAAACGTCCTAATTCAGAGAAATACGAATATGTGACTGCAGACGAAAGTAGAGCCGATTGAATTGACTCTTACTGTGTCATTGCAAAAGCTCTATTTCTTGGACAAGTTGATCCGGCCTAATTAAAATTTTCTTATAGACCATCATATTTTAATGTATAATTCTCAAATAAGCAAAAATGTGTTTAAAAATTTAGGAAAGTCGACGTCGTTTTTAAAAAACTGAAACTACAGGAAGCTGATACACGTCTGTATATCGAGAGCTGAAACGGGCTGAAAGTGTTGCTGAAACTAATTTCTAAAAAAATATTTCCTTTATGATAGTATGATAATATGCTATAGTTAGTTACAAAAACACAGTTTTCAAGAATAAAATCGTTATTGTTTGTTCATGCACCATAATAAACAAGAATAAACGTCATAAACGGTAAACATGCATTATCTGTGTAAGGGCAGTACGTGTTAAGTGTACAAGGAGGTAATGTAAGCTGCATGTTACAGCCTTATCACAATAAAGACTACAAGAAAGGAGTGTCATGCGTGAGTACTGATCCGCCAGAGAAGTTTTGATTTTTTTATCATTTTTATTTTTTAATCCAGTGCCGACTTTAATTTGCAGTGATTGCGACGATCATATGAATACTAGGCACTACTAAGGCTCATGAATCAAATGGCATTGAAATGATATGTACAAGAATATTCAAGATTGTGAAAGTGATTGACATCTTGACAGATCAGTCATGCGTCATGCAATCAATGTCTTGAATTTTTCTGTATAAACCGTCCCAGTATAGCATCAATCTTCTTAGTCTGTGTTTGCAGTTGATCGGTATACTATCAGTCTCAGGTAGACAAGTCAGACAAGTAAGTACAATATTATAAAAAAATTGTCTCAGACTTCTATTGCTGCTGAGCGGGGAGAAGATGTTCTTTTATGTATAGCGGTACATATATAAGTATGCAGAAAACGCGGCATTCGCGGATCCTCACTCCAGAACCAACAGAACGCCAGACAGAAAATTACGCCTGGGTCCTCGAGGATGGTTATATTTGCGAGATCATTTGATCGAATCCTGTCAGGATTCTACGTATATTTCGAATATTTCACTTCGATTTTACAAACATTAGCCTGCGTTGTACATCCGGAATATTCATGGAAATTTCCGGGATGTAACGCAGGCTAACAAACATTCACCTCATGATTATTAGCCAATTAATTCGTTTTGCACATCATTCAAGTGATTCAAATATAGCTAGTACATGTATTGACTTTGAGGAAAACAAGTGAAACCTTTACTTCCTGATTCATGATGCGATTACTCCGCAGGCACAAGCTGATCGAAGTCCCAAAATTTTCTTTAAAGTTTGAGTGGTTTAATTTAAGTGCATTATTCTCTAAAATCGAAAAAAAGTCGTTCAAAGTTGTGGTTGGGTTTGGTAGAAAGCTTTTTTTATTTTTCACCTGCATAATCTTATGCGTCAGCATCACTCGTGATCCTATGCGTTCCATGCGTGGTAGTGAAAAGCTGAGCCTTTCCTTTTTATTCTTATTGTTTACTACATCCTCTGTGATTCTCCGTCATCCCTAACTAAGGTCTCGTACTCCTGGTTTCATGTGTTAAATAAAACAATAATAACGTGTCGCAAAAAATATTTATTTTTCCTGTTCAGTACACGCGTTCACTCCTCGCTCTCTCTCTCGCAAAGTCTCCTGGGTAAAATGTCTCAGTTTCGCGCTGTTTTGTACCAAACTCCAGGCCCTTTGGCTGCCTTACAAATGAAGGGGGGTTCGTTTTTTCATAATGCGGGCCTAAATTAGCTCAATCCACAGGTAAAGTGCATAAGAACNAAGTGCCAAGTCATGCGGTCCTACCCACAAAATATTGAGCCGATTGCTTTTTTTGGAAGTCCAAACTTGCCGAAATTTGCATGGTAGGTCGCAAAATCAAACACAAGACAGCCAGGGAGTCGATTTCACTCCAATGGCGCCATCGGCTTTAAACCAACTGACGATCGCCATTTTCTTCGCAAAATCGCTTCCCACCTCTGATTTCTTCCAGAAGAGCGCCTCTGCCGACTAGCCAAGCTTAATAATGCAAGTCTAGGGGCTCTTGTGCTTGAGTATGACTTTAAAAAACACTTAAAAACCAAGTTTTTCTGTGTTTTGAACGAGCTGTTCGCTATTCAAAGACACAAGCAAAAACTTAGCAGGCATCCCTCGAGAGTTTGAATGTTTGGCTATGTAAATCAGCGTCAGTTCCCTTGACAACCGTGAAATCAGTGCTGAAATCGTTTTTTTAAGCCTTTCATCTTTAAATCGGTTAAAAATTCCCCAGAAATTTGCGTATTAAAGGGTTAAACAGGGACCGCGGAGCGGGAATTTGGTTTGGTGAAACTATCTTAATTCTCGGAAATTTCATTTCCAGTGTTTGAGGCGTTATCGAAGACATACTTCTGACCGCTAAAAACCGCACACACAGTCAAACAATATTCAATAAAACTTTTTTTAAAATTTTAATTTTAATATTTCGCGCTCAGTTTTTACACAATATTTATAGAATGGAAAGTGTAATTTCATAACGAGGCTCTTCGCTTCTTTTTATTTAAGCGGAAAATTCGAAATGGCGGAAAAATTATTAATTTAAATAATGTAATTTAAATTTATTAAATTACTACTCCAGCGCGGTCCCTGTTAAAAAAAAGATATGAACAAGAATATTCAAGATTGTGAAATGATTGACATTTAGACAGTTCTCTATCATGCGTCACCATTCTGAAAGTTCAGTGTATACAAACCCAGTATAGCATCTATCTTCCATGTAGTCTGGGCTTGCAGTTGATCGGCATCTTATCTGTTTTCAATAGACAAGTAAGTGCATGCAATATGATAAAAAAATTGTCTCAAAATTATAAATTATATTTGCTGCTGAGCGAGGAGAAGAGTCATCTGTTCGGTTTTTAATGTTTATTAGCGGTACAGCATCTTGATCTTTTATTATCATTATGATAAGCATGCAGAAAAAAACCTGTAGGTTGTAGTCTGTCTGTAATATTTCATCCTCGGGAACTCAGGCTTTTAAAAATCTTGTGTCGTTCGATCTTCATAGCCTCCTTTGTATTAGCACTGGTCATAATTTCCCGAGATCTTCAAAGGTGGCTACAATAGATCTTCACTGCTCACTTAAAACAACAGAACTATCTCTAAACTACTTTTACTAGTTTTTGCTCTTCCTTTTCGCTCTGTTTTTTAACACACTACGTATACACTGACTACATTACGAATTTATGATATTGTGTATTATCATGCTTACCTTTTTCTGATTCTGATTTAGAATTATATCAGTAAAGAAACGACGAAGAAGTGAAATCAATAGCGATGAAACTATTTAAGTTCTCCATGCTCTTCTTTGCATTGCTGACGATCAGCTGTTTCCGTGAATCTGACGCGAATCCAGCCTGGTTTCTTCGTATTGCTGCCGCCTTGGGCGTGAAGCTTGTTAAGAATTCCTYMTACGCYCGWTGTAACACYCGCTATTTACCGACCGGGATGAACTGTCCGAGCGTGGTGTATGGGGRTGGGCRGTCTAGAAACCAAGCACAAAATTCAGCGAGYGTTTACGCGGAGATGTTTGGGGATCATGGTTGTGGACGTTACGTTGGTCATTGCCAAATCAAAAAATTCAGCAAAAGGGGATGAAACTTCACACGTCTGTCAGTCTTATGAGAATATAACAAAAGTGTAAATCCAACATATGTAGCGAAATAAAGACTGCTATATACATCCCGAGAACAGTAGCACTGTTTTGACTCATTAAGTAACCTCTTGTAACGTTTGGGGAGTGTATTGTCATCCCCAAAATAACTCTTACTGCTGGTTATTAAGCCATGACGTAAGTCAATTCGGCTGCCCATTTTTATCGTTTTTATAGAAGGTCTCAATTATATTGTTTGGGCGATTAGGAATCATTCTATGATTTAAGTWATTTCCAATTATTTTATTTTTTTTATATATAATGCAAAAAAATGAACTCCTGAGTCCCGTGAAAAAAACACATCATTAAAACTGAACCCGATAGTAAATGAATAATATATTATTTTCCTGCTTACTGGTTCCAAAATAAGAGCACGTTTTTTCTGGCATTTCTGTGAAAGTGTAAACATAGCATTGTAATGTTTGGGCTTCCTGTTTTGCATGATGGAAGAGAAGCTTGGTAACCATTCTACTGACAAYGGATTCTGGGAAACAAAATGGCGCGAAAGTCAAAAGATGGCGGCTGAACATAACTGGAATAATATTGTTTGGTTTTCCATCTCTAAATTGGGTTTGATCTTTACTTTAATGTAATGAAAATGAAAAGGGGGAAAACAGGCAAAAGGATCAGGCAAAAGACAAYAAGGAAAGGTAGAATATTGTCATATAAGTTGTTATATTTTTCGACTGTAAATTGAAAACACGACATTTCAATAAGCTTAACTGTTAACATGATATCGATATTTTACTTACAACCCTATTATAAGTCTTATAGAATCGAAAAGATTGAGATTAAAAGCTTGTGGTTAGTTTATATGAGTTKAAACGAGTTTCTTTTTCAAAGACACACTGGCAATAACAGCATGRATTGCGATTGCTGTATCGTATTAAAATGGATGGAAATGGATTCTGTAAGGTTTTAATTTCTCATTACAAATCGTGGATTTTCCTGGTCCAAAAAATGATTCATTGACTTTAGTGCATACTGGAAAGTGCTGGTTGCTCTATGATCTAAAAGTGGATGTARTTGTTTTATATACAGGTTCGATTTCTTCAGATGATGAACAGTTTCCAGTATGTACTAGTTTGCCTCCTGCTGTACAAGGACAATTGAGATGTTTTCTATCAATATCAGTCAGTAATCTGACATGGTCTGTTGATAAACATCCTAACGATGTACAAATACGGATTTGTTGGTGGGGCGAACAGGGACAAGGGACAGTATTATGGTACATTGTTATTTTTTTATCTGGCCTTTATTTTAAATACTAGCATTATTTTACTCTTGATGTAGAAGCCTCTTATGCACCTGTTGTGTTATAGTCAGTTTTGTTTTGTTCTGTGCTTGCAGTGTGACAAGAGTGTGTTTTTTGTAGTACATGCTATCATACTATATTTGTACATGTAGTCCGATTTTAGACACTCGTTTCAATTTGATGTGTTCTTTGTAGTCCAAAAGGAGGACAAGACAAAAAGTCAGCCATTGATTCAACTACAAAGTGGAATTCAGTGAGATATCCTGTCTGTAGTGGACCAAAACAGTTTGCTGCATATTTGAATGGTATGAAAATATCTTCCTTTCTCTCCTTTCCTTCCTTCCCTCCCTCCCTCCCTCCCTCCCTCCCTCCCTTCTCCTTCATTCCTGCCTTTTTGTCTTCATTTTCATACTGTCTATGAAAGCCTTGTTTTATTTCTTTCATGATTCTCAATTAGTTTCCATTTCTTAACAGATATGGGCACACTGCTACTTGAAGCTATCCATACCTCAACTCAAATCCCATTTGGAAAAGCATTGATATCTGATATTACAAAGCTTACAGCCAGTCAGCCTGTTAATGTGTAAGTTAGAATTATTACATTTTTTTCCTCAACGTTTTTTCTTACTTTTCCTTCACTGAAATTAATTTAGTCTGCGTTGAACAACCTAGAAATTTACAAGCCAACAATTTCASAAACATTTTGTAMCTKAACATTTTGTATCTCAAGTTTTGTATGAATGTTTTTTTAAAAATGGCTTTTATTCTAAAAGTATTCCTATTTCAAAGTTATATTGTTGTTATAGGATTGTTCCTATCATGTCTGTCATCAGTCCTTTTAACAAACTGGCTGACATTCAGGTTTATATCAAGTTTGAATCAGTTTCTGGTAAGTGTCACAGCATGAACATTAATTTGTCAATATTTAAATTATTTTGAATAATTTAATTAAAGMACATGTAATTATTAGTTTGAGTAGTCATTGTTTTGTTTCTTCCAAGCTGCATACAACAAGCTGCCTTCAACTATTCCAACAGTAGACACAGGTCTCGATAAGGAAAATGTAGATATCAGTAACCCCCAGCCTACACCCCCTCCYTATATCAATCCAGCCACACCTGTCAGTCACCCAAGACAAGGTACACYGGACCCATTTGAATCTCCTGCTCCCACAAAGGTTAATAAGRATTTTTAATTACTGAATATAATGGATGATAAAATAATGTGTCAGTAACTGGATGTTTCAGTTGAAAATATATACAAATTGTTCTGCAAGAAGAATTGTTTTCACCACAAATAATTGTTTTAAAGAAACCATAAAATGTCAATTAAATTCTTGAGACTTTCATGTTTTTGTGAAGATTAGTTAAAGTTATTTTTTTTATTTGATGTCAGTAATTTCTAGTATATTTGTTTGTAGGAAAACTTCTAGTTTTTACAATAAATAAGTTCTCATTCATAGTCATTCAACATCCTATCAATATTATAGGGTGTCAAGTTTTCAGAAGATCCTCCTGAACAGTTGGAGTACTCTGCAGAGCCATCCTTGTTGTCTTTACTGGCTCAGAGTGAAACACCCTTGACACAGCATTCATATAATGACAAGACTAAGTTCAAATATGGTAACATTCTTGTTTTGAGCATTGCTTGTTGCATTATTTTAGGAGTTTTATCTGGGTCAGTTGTATAACAAAACATTATTAAGTCACTCTTTTTAACTGATCTTTAGACAACATACTTGATACTCAAGTCACAAGTTCTGAGAGCAGATCAGGGGCTGCAGAAAGAGAACAAGACACTAGTATACAAACAATGAATGCAGACTCTAGTACTGATTGGATAGGGGCTTTATTAGAGAGAGGACAAAGARTACGCGAAGGTCTAGCCATGTCAACACTACTGGACAACAATSAATCTGGAAGTTTTATTGAACATTTCAATTCTCCAGACAGGTTGGTCTTGGAGCAAGCACTCCAGTCAATAAAGGGTTGTCCACTACTCTCACTAAAAAAAATATGCATAACATTGTATTGCATTATATCCACATATAAACAATAGATTACCAATAAAAGACTTTTAAGAACAAATGTAATAACAATAGAATGCAATACAATGTCATGCATAAAGTGTATTGGACAAGTGCATAAATAATTGACTGACTGTTCWTAAATCAGGCCTTAAGTAATGCATAATGTGCAATTTTCAAATCTTATGTTCATGAACTTTTAGGCATGTCCCTCCAGGTCGTCTATTCAAAGAAATACTACARAAAGACAACAAATTTGACTTGATGACAAAAACATCACCTCTAAGCCCTGATAAAGATGGTGAAGATAASGTGATTGATCTCTTGATGGGTGATCAACATGATTTCATGGATAACCTGTCTATTCTGTCAGATGTCAGTCAAGAGCTGAGTGAGTTAGGGGATCCAATATATGATGAATCATTACTGAAGGATCTTTTTTATAAATCACAAGTAAGGATACCAACTTAGGGTTATAATAATCATCATACAGCATGTGCTGGTGTTGTACAATGTATAATAATATGTTCATAGAGTTTCTGCATACAGTTTTAATAGTTTCTTAATTGATACTTGATGGCTATGCAGTAATAATCAGGTAATAAGTGACTTTAGCAATATTTTATTAATTTAATGCAATTTTTATCAATTTAGCACAATATATCAGRGGCAAGTGACCTTGAAGGAGATTCCATAAGTACAGAACTTGATAGCACATTAACTAATGGTTCTTTAGAAGAAGATAAAATCAAATCTACAAAGCARAGTTCACCAAAACAAAACAACAAGAAAAGGAAAAGTCAAAGTAAAAAGGCAAAAATGAAAGAGTTYSCTYTAGAAAGTGAGGAATCTGAACTATCATTAGATCATTCAACTGAAATATCAGATGAAGGTGTTGTCACTTCGACAATATCAGCTGAGTCTTTGTGCAAAGATGATTTAATTCAACAGCTTGGAGCTGATAAACTGACTACATTAGGCAGAGTAAACACTGCAAAGGTTATTATTGATAATATGGAATTAACAATRGCTGATGGTTCAAAACATGGCGATAACAAGAAACCAAGGTACTGTGCTTGAGATATTATTTAAGTTGCATTAATTAGTTTTACACTATAATTGAATAAGATGAGTTTTTCATTCACATGTCAATACAAGTATTTTTCTTGTTAAATTTGGTACTCTGCTATTTTTCWGCAGAACATACTTCGTAGAGTATTACTTTCCAATAGCTACTGTCAAGGAAACACACAAAGCTGCCATGGCAACAGAGGTTACTAGAGTTGCTTCTAAGAAAACACATGAAAATGGTAAATTCATGTTTTCTTTGTTATTAAAGATTTCATGTAGTTCTAATGATCATAACAGCAGTTAACTATAKTGTTGTTTAATTTGATTGTGTTGCAGTTGTGTTGTTTAACCATCGGTCAGTCTTCCCTGTATCATTTAATGCAACTGTACTGGAGCACTGGAACAACATAGGGATGACATTCAAGATATTTAAAAGAGACTCTGGACAAAGACAAGTAAACACCTTAAAACTAGATATAAAAATTTGATAGCTCATTCCCGTATCCAAATTGTAATCATTATTTTTACTACTAGGTGAATTCATTCACATAAATACACACACTTACATGGTAATATATTCCATTTTTGATTCCATAATAATTTTGTTTGTATGTGCAGCCAAGTGAACTTGGTATAGGTGTCTTCCCTTTAAAGCATGTGTTATTGTCAAATAACCTGAGTCATGATGTGAAAGTTGACATCAAAGAACAGRATAGAAGCCATGATACTGATTCAACATATGATTCACACAGTCCTGGAAAGTCACATAAAACTGCCATTGTAGGAAGTCTTGAGGTAGGCAAATATCAATGAGTTTTCTCCTTATTTTCCAGGAATGTTTACTTTTTGCTCTCTGACTTCCAAAATCCCATTCATCCTTCCTATTCCCCTCCCTTCCATGTTCTTTTACTCTTCTCTTTCAAAGTATTCACTTATACATACTTCATGAAGGTGTTGCACCAAAATGAATACTTTGTTTGACAAGTAAGCTGGATGTATTTGAAATTAAACTGCCAATAAAACCAGGATTATATGTTGTTGTTTTTTATTACGTAAACAGGTTAAAATTGAGCTAGCRGTTGATGGCAAGGCAGTGCAAGTACCAACTGCAACTACTAACCAACAAAGTATGTTGAGTACAACTATGGTTACCATGGTTTCTAGACCAGTTATGATCTCAWCCTCTCAGCCTCAAAAGAATTTGTCTGATGGAAAACCTCCTCTACCTCACACTTCAAGGTGACTGTCATTTGTTTAGCTTAGTTGTTTCTCTTTGATTTGTTGATGAAAAATCTTTTGGTCATAGTGATTTCCTTACACTCAAACCTTAATATTATCAAGACTCGTTTGGCCAGAATTAAAATGTCTAGTTGATGATAAGTTGCCTGTGTACCTCGTTTCTCACACCTCCCAAAAAATCGATGTACACAGGGTAGATGATAAGAAAATCCAGATAATGGAGGTGTTGATAATTCAGGTTGAACTGTACTTGTAATTGCTCTCTCTCCGAAAGCTCTTTAGAGAGGAAAATTAATATGATATTTGTAAGATATTGATGTGAGAATAAGGCCAAACTCATTGATATGTGATATTTTGAAGTTTTTTAATTCTGAATAATAGATTGCAAAGTACCGTTAAACAGCAGCAAGAAGAACCTTGTGACTGGTTGACACTTCACTCATTGRTATGGATACAAGAAGGAAAAGGCATAACACTTGAACCTCACAGTAGTCATGGCAACCATATTCCTGGAATTGGTGGAAGAACAAACCTCTTCCTGGTATCCCGTATGTTCTGGTGTGAMGAGGTATCAAAGTCACCAGTTTGTTGGGGAACAAACCAACCTCAGTTTGGTTTCAAACAGGTAATAAGTTACAATCTTTCCAGCTAAAAGGTATTCTAAATTGCTTTAAAAAACTACCAACTTTGACTAAAAAACCTACAGATTTCCATAATGTACAATGTAATACGAAACAGCTGAGGTTTTATTACCTGGGACCAGTTGTATGAAGAGTTGATAAAGTTAGCCACATAAGGATGCACTACTCACCTTTTGTCTAACCGGTGCCTGTGTTAAGTTTGTCTGTTTGTAAATAATTWTTGTAGGTTTCTCCAGTGCTGCTTTCACCAACTCTTCTTCAAAGAACATGTAACAATTTTATGGTGGTTGAAGTATGGGACAAGGTTATACCACAAGGAGAAAAGGTTTCTAATTTAGAATTACTTGATATGATGTTCAGAGTACCACTGACAGTATTTTGACTGCATGAAATCATTTCATTATAAATTTTTATTAACAGTTTGTTTTGATATTTCCCATTCTTGTATTTTCAGCTTGTTGGTATTGTGAAACTACCCCTTCATCAGCTATACTTGTCCTATAGAGATCCCAAAATTACCAAAACACTCATTAAATCAAAGGTTTGATAAATTGTCGAGCTTTTAAGTATTATATAATTTGTAAATTGATTTGAGGTAGTTATACTACATTGTGTTTCAGTTTCCAATTGTATGTGTTGATGATATGTTGCCAATCAGTAATCCATTCACTGGTTCTTGTCATGGAGAACTAAGAGTTCTGCTGGCTATGGGCACTGAAGAACAGGTAACTGAACACTTTGGTTAATATATGTATAATCAATTTTATATGATTGTCCCATATTATATTTACTCACTTGTTGTGCAGCAACAGAACCAAGTCACCTAATGCCCTTTTTGATGATTATTTTATACTCAATGACTATCAATTATTCATTAATTTGTAGATATCATCATTGCTGGCTGTCAAAGATGGTAATGATGCTGATGATAGACATACAGATGGCAGAGGAAGACTGGAGAACAGACCATCACATCATCTTGACCAACATAAGTACATAATTGTTATCATTTACCTTGCATTTAAAATTTGTCAATTTCACATTCCCTGTGATAACTATCATTACATTCATTCAACATGTATTTTCCCATTTATTGTCAACAATATCCATCCATCTTTCTTCCATTTTCTTCTTCAACTAATTTTTTTTATATCAATCCATTTTGCTTCCATTACTTGTTTATATTTATCCAGCCAAAAGGCATCTGTTTTCACTCATTCTTTCTTCCTTTCTTTCATTTTTTAATTCATTTATTCACWAGTTTAACACTGTAATATGTTTTGTCTTCAGACAGTCAAATGACAATAGATCCAACTCTACTCCAAGGAACATATCTGCAATAGGTACATATAGTTTMTATATCTTGAACATCTCTTATATTATGAACTTCAACATTTCCATGTCTTCAACAGATCACCATTTTGAGATAACAGTAGGTGATATCAGAGGGTTATCCATCTTCAACAGTACAGTGTGGGGAGAAACTGATTGTTATATTCAATATCATTTCCCAAATCAACACCAGAACATTGATCTTGACACTGAAGGTATGATTTATTGTCTACTTGTAGCTAAGCAGGTACAAACAGATTGACAACCAGACAGTTTTTAAACTGTCATATTTAAAATAATGACTTTGAACTGCACAGGTAGTGGGCATCTGAAACAACCGAAAACATAAATATAATACTGGTCAGACCTGCATTTTATTCATWTATTGAACATGATGTGGCAGTTACAGAACGTGATCTGATATCATATATAGCTGCATTGATATGAGGATATAACATGAATGCAACAATGTCATGGACTGCAGAGAATACCATAGTGTATGTAGAGTATTTATTAACATCATATATTTAACTAGAAATCTATCTAGTTTATTGTATCTTCTAGTTGCACCTGGACTAAAGAGGCACCATACACCAACAACTCTGTGTGTACCAGATCCATCATTCCAAGATGTCAGTCATCATTCATTTGTCCTWCCATCTGGAACACCTGTCCAGAGATATCTATTGGCTGCTTACAGTGGCTCTTGGACAAGTGTATCATCTGTACCWGGGTCAGGGGGYGTCCCTTTTGAATTGTGGAGAAGATATTACTATCCCAATGTCAGGGATCAACTTGTTGCCAAGGTAAACACACAAGGAGGCTACTGTCAGATTATTTAGTGTTATAGGGTAAAGAAGGTCATTTTAGGGCATTGACTGTACACTGCTCCTTGTTTCTTCATTTTGTGATTTTTTTTATTTATAATCTTTAGGGGACTTTGCAAATGCTTAATATCAAAACAGTAAAAATTTTATTCCTAAAATAAATCCTCTTACTGATTGCTCTTTTTTCTTTCAAGATTTCTCTTATAACATTCCCATTGTTGACGTTGACTTAATATTCAAACTTGTTACATTAATCTATTTAAATGATTTTATTTATAGGCCAGCCTCCCTGTTGCCAAGCTATGTGCCATGGTAACCATGCAAAGACAAAGGAAGTCCAGTGTACAGACATTCTCACTCCCTCTTATGGTGTTACCAGATAATAAAGGGTCTGTTAAGCAAGACTCTGGTCTGTTAGAAATTACTGTTAAGTATCATGCTACAAGAGTACAACCAGATGATGATCATGGTAGAAATAAGAATATTGATGACCAAGTGAATCTATCAATTGATGTCATTAGAGCTTGTGGACTTAAGGTATGCAGCATGCTACTCTGTGGTGGACTTAATTTCATTAGCAGTATTCAATAATTATACATTATAGCCATGTGAGACATTATTTTATACACTTGGGTCAAAGTGGGCTTACAGCTGCATCTCATTGCCTGTTCCAAACAAATGCTTAGAACTGTTTGGTATGAACACTACGTGATACGGCAACTGTATTCACAGTGGTAGTATTATTGGAAAAAGCAGCTAACTATAATAGATAAACCATCTACAACCAGTACTGCAAAGAATTTGTACAGTATATTAGTCCAGTCTATTAGTCCAGTCTATATATTTTATTGGCTCACGGTTCTTACAATGTGTGCCAGTATTTTTAAAAATTATGGTTCATTATGATATCTTACATGGCTTATTATTGATAGTATGYAAGGTTTATGGTGCATATTGATTTCTAATTAGGATGCTGCTATGGCTCATGCCCAGTCCAACCCTGACATGTCCTATCCAGCTGATGTTGGTATAAATGCATATGTAWTAATCAAGCTTCCTATTGGTCGCAAGAAAAAGCATGTGACACGCACAGTGGCAAGGACTTTTGCACCAGACTTTTCTCACCATCTGAACATCATTGCACCATTGCAGATGTCCAGGCAGTCTCATGATGACCACAATCTTGTCAGTCTTGCCGAGAAGCTGGAAATGACAGAAGTTATATTTGAATTATGGTAGGTGACTATTTTTAGCTTGTATCTTATCTAACACGWGTCAGAGTACTATATCCTTAAATATAGCTCAKAATATGTTGTCATTAGATTTTATATTATATAGCTCAATTATAACACYCGCACTGATTGGAGAATTTCATTAGGAAAGCTATCAATGGTTTATTTTGCCAGTAAACTACTTCAAGCTATCGTTTATAATCTATTTGCAATGTTTGGAGGTTTATTATAACATTTATATGTCAWACTAACAATGGTACATTTAAATAAGGCATCAGCATTCAAGAGGCATTGGTGACATTAGTTCATATGGTGAACAGCATAGAAAACATGATGTATTAATGGGTGTTGTCACCATACCTTTATCAGAGCTCCTTGTCTCTAGAACAGGTAACCCATCTCATATTTTGATGTCTGTTTATAATTTATAAATAGCACTATTCCAACCCAGCAATCTGCATTTATGCACCTGGAAGTAGTGAGATTCTAAGGGACTAAAGGCCATCTAATGTTAGTATAACATGTTATATTGAGTAACATGTTTTGTAAATTATACAGGAATTAGTGGCTGGTATTCTATTAAACCTGTTGAAACAGACAAGAGACATGATAATACACTTGGAGGGCTTCAGCTGTCAATCAAGTTTGAAGAGTCAGAAGATAGAGAAGCAGTCATACATACTGGACGTAGCTTGGGATGGAGTCCTCCTCCTGGGATAGAGTATGATGATGATAATCAACTGTTTGATTTGGAAGATGAGGATTGTGATGACTTTCCAAAGGGACTGGAGCTTAGTCTAAAGATCAGCAGGGCATGGGTACCAGCCTTGTTAATTCAAGATGCTCATGGACAATCTAACAAGGATATCAAYGGATACATCAGATACAAATTATACGACAAAAGTAAGCATTATARACACATTGGTATATTCAATGATTATGAAGTGGATGTTTCTTTATTTAATGTTGGTCATTAGTAAAACCTAAACATGACTTATTAATAACCCTTTTAAATTTTTCCTTAGGTCCTCTATGCTCAAAGGTTGTCCCATTTAGAACCACKAACAAGGAAGCAAGTATTTTAGAGGTGAAACACTCCAAAAGTTTCTTTGTACCAGCAACTACTTCACTTGTTTGGTATCTTAGAGAAGAARGTCTTGAAGCCCAGGTATGGATTAGAGGAAAGACAAGGAAGGATAAAGATGATGTTGCRGTGCTGCCTGGACAAAGGGACAGACTGGTTGGTTCAGCATTTATTGACATGTCGTCATTAGTTGTGCCTGGCTTGAAACATTCACAGATAAGGTAAAGGTATTGCAGCAATGATTATTAGAATAACTTCAAACAATCTGTCAAAGCATTCTCTCAAATTGTGACCAAATCCTTTTGGGTGACTTCAATTTATGTCATTGTACATTAAACTATAAGGATTTTTTGTGTAAAAAATCCAATTACATATTTCTCTTGCAGTGGTGTATTTCCRTTATTCAAGGCTGGTGCAGACACCTTGGGTGGAGCTAGAATTCACGTTCAGTTATCTTTAACTAAAGCAAATAGTCAGTCATCAGACACACAAATGGTATGTACAAAACTTTCAAATGACAGATTTCATGAACATACATTGCCTTAAAGACATTTTGTACCTGCCACCTCTCTGGGAATGTGAGATGAGAAAATCTTAGATATCTCGTCGTCTAACAACGAACCAAACCACATGCACATGCATGTTTTTGTTTTGTTCTGCAGTGTGAACAAGATGAGGTCAATGACACTTTGAGTTCTGATGATTATCCCAGCACCAAAGGGTTTGTTGACAATGATAGTACATCATTSAAGTCAAGTTCTGATCAACAGCCCATTGATACTGCACCACAAACCCCTCCCAGGTCAACAACCTCACCACCAGATGATTCATTTGCTGCYCATGTTATTATACAAGAAGCTCATCATTTGCCAACAGTGCCTGACAGTAATGGTGACAGGTCAGAAATGATTTGTAATAGTCTTACATTTCCTGCAACCTTGACTTATGAATGGTGGAAATTATTTTGTCTGAAAGRAAAGAAAACCATTGCACTTGATGCTGAAGTTCAACCAGAAAATTTTAAATCATGAGCTTGAAATTCAGGTTGAMAAACTTAGATTASMATCCCCCTGTCCAATCACCCTTCACCCTTTTGAATACTTATTCCAATCTGATTGTTTATTCTAGAATACCACCAAATGTCTATGTCACATACCAAGTATCAGTATCTTCACAAACTATTAGTACACCAGTACTTAAGACAACTACAAAACCTGCCTGGGAATTCCAAAAGRTAGAACATCTTCCTTTATCAACACTTAAAACACAAGTAAGCCCCCGTCTTATTGCTGTACCTTTTGATACATGTATATATGCTATACTTACTTAATGATATTTACTTTATGATTAAATGATATTTTTTTAGAATCTTGTGTTTAAAGTATGGCACCGAGCAGATCAACAGCGGAATCATGGTATGGATGGATACTTACTATACAGTTTAAGTTTGTTTTATTTATATTATTTCCAATCACTAACTGGTATCTTTGCACTGCCAATATAAGTATTATCCATCTACGTGTATTTGTCACTCCATTACATTGATATTCTTCCATTTACTTATAATAATCCTATCCATTCATTCCTCTAAAAATCCTTTCAAATGTAGTAATCATCTGTCTATCTGTCAATTGTCCATACACTAAAATATAACCATTCATTTGCTCAGACTACTTTATTGTCCTATACTCAGAATCCAACAACCACCAAGAGTTGACCAAGTCTGTTTCCAGGAAAAGTGATAGTTCTGATGATTATTGTCTTGGTTTTGCCAGTGTTGACCTGGCACCTCTTGCTGCAGGATTAAGACAACTTATAGGATGGTATAACATCACTGATTTCAATGGACAATGCAAGGGACAAATTAAGGTATATATATATTAATTATATGAAATTTGACGTATGATATCATGGTTTCCAGGACATGCACCCATGATTGACAATACTCTGATTTGTGATGTAGGTTGGAGTTGTGCCTCTTGCTCCTGTGTCACCCAGTCGATGTCTCTCAAGGTCAAYATTGCATGTCAGCCCACCTGTCGTCCAGGCAGACAAGGTGATTTTATTGTCATGTTGTCCCCAATAATTATTACTAACAGTTAAATGCTGTAAGTAAATAAATAGAAGTGTAAGATGGCAAGAGCATCTACAATACCGAAGATGTTCCTATATTACTAAGATGTGTGCACGATACCATCACGATATATCATCAGGGGTGAAATGAGAATTGAAATAAAAAAAATATATCTCTCAAAGAATAAGACTTTCCTTGTAAATAATGTAGAAATATATATTTTTGAATATMTTTTGTATATCTGTACAGCCTTTGATGTCAAGACTGTCTAGTGTTGTTCCATCATTCATGGGAAGTATAGCTCATCCCAGTCAGCCTGATGCAGACCTGGSAGGAATTCAGTACCACAAAGACACTGCTGCAAATGAACATCAAGAATTACCAACATCTACCACCTCCTCATTCCTCTTTAGACAATTAAGGTAATAGTCTATATTTCAGTGTTTGGCTTTTCATAGATCCTTAACCTGAGTACCAGTCCTTCAAGGTGGCCTAGGGAGGAGGGCCTGYGGCAGAGTGGAAGGGATAAAGGAAGGCACTCCCTTTTTKTTTCCCTTCCATTTTTTTCCCTTGAGATCCTGATACTCAGGTTAATAATTCCTTGGTTGCAACCACATGACCAAGAATCCACAGAAAGAGGAAAATAGCTATCTTTTAGAAGATTGGACAAGATGAGTGAGGAATGCTATTTTTATCCAACATAAATGTCTACTATGTCAATGGAAGGCATCCTAAGAATAGCTCATGAAAATGTTTTGTTATTATAAAAAATTTAAACATGGACATTGATGTATTCTAGGCAAAATATGCAAGATCTTGAACACTTACAAAAAGGTTTACAAGCTAAATTAAGTGGGATGAGACCTACTTATTACAACAAGGAAGACTACCCTAACCAGCACATGGAAGAGATGTCTCCTCATAATCTCCACAAGCCCAGTACAACAGCTTCTGATACCAGACAAACTACTAATGACAAGTCTTGCAGGGCTTCTACTTGTGAATATAGTGAGCAACATATACCAAAACATACTCAACCATCTAATGACATTGAGGAAAATAGGATTACTGAAAATATAAAACAATCAAAACCAGAGAGCAATTGTGAAAAGAGAGAAGAGTTTAGTGAAAGAGATCCYTCATTGGAGAACATATGTGATCAAAATCAACACAAAACTGTTGTATCCAGTATCAGTGAAAATCATATTTTAGAYACACAAGAAAACGTTGAACAAGGGAATTCCTCTTACAACAAAGACAATCAGTTTGATACTCATGTTGAAAATGATGCTGGCAGAGAAATGATTACAAATGAYAGTAATGTGAGCCATGACTCTGATTCGTTAGAAGAAGTTAGCTTGTGTGACAAGCCCTATGCTCAAGAATTTGATAGCTGGCTTAGTAGTGAAGAGGACAAAAAGTCACCGGTTACTGCATTAGCCTTCACATTACCTGACAATGAACCAGATATCCAACAACAAAAACATTCCACTATTGCAGGAAAGATAAATGAAATGTCTTCCACTTCTGGTAGTGTTGATGATGTTGAATGTGATGATCAAAGTGAGTCTGAAATCATTGAAGCTATTAATTTATTTACTGAAAATCCAAGAAAACATATTGACATTGATGAATACCTGGGAGCTAGTATTGTRGATGATCAACCTGAAGATCCTTGTAGTGATTATGAATTAAARACCASTACAATCAGTCCTAACAACAACAATCAACAASAAAGTGCACAATTTGCAAACCATTGTCTCAAAGACACAACTCAAGATGTCAGTAATCAAAGCAAAGCAAAAGATGTTAKCATGCCAAATTTCTTTATGRCTACACAAGAGCTGGAAAACTCTATGAGAGCCCTTAGACTTGGTGCCAAATTAGGCTATCCACATGGGTTAGCTAGTAGTCTTCCACAATCCAAACTGCTTGAGAGAACTTATAAAAGTCAAGATGACAAAAACAAAGGAATCCTCAATCAATATTCTCAAAGGAAACTCATATATAAAGTCAAGCAAGATATGCAGCCACCTTTATCTAGTATTGAGATAGATAGAATAGCAAGAATATTTTCTTCAAAAGATTAATAACACTGTATAATAGTATGTCATGCAGATAATAGTTTATCATATAATTATCTATGAAATACCTATATTTCTCCTTTTCGTAAACTTGATATCTTCACTAGTGAAAATAACATGTTATTTTCACTAGTGAAAATATCACATTCGAGGTTTCTCTATATAGTGGAAGTAAGAAAAAAGGTATTTTACGACATAATTTGCGTTCATATCCAATTATATGATAAACAGAATATTACATGGTCGCTTGGAGATACGAATTTTATCTTCTCGTGTACGCTCACTCGTGAGAGATCTTTTCAACACTCGAAGATAAAATCCGTATCTCCGCCCATGTAATATCCTCTATATGTCATGCAGATAATAGTATGTCATGCAGATAATGACAAAGTTGTTACATATTWTGTATATATTGAAATGTAAATTTATGTTTAATAATATTCATACCTACTGGTGTTATTATTATATTCATTCAAACCACATGAAACATTGTTCACCAGGGGCTCAATTCCACACTGTATGGATAGTCGATTCATGAAATGTCATTAGCCGAGCATATATGATACATCGATTATCTGTTCAATCAAGTTCATATTGTGAAATGCCACTGGGTACATAATCGATTAAAGTCCACGCCATATCGAGTGTTTACCCGTAAACACGATGGTTAATTTTGAAATTAAACCGGATGTATGCAGGCTAGTGTTTATTTGCCATGTAATAAATCTAGGGTTATTTCTTCCATGTGTTTCTGTTTGACAAATTGATTTAACTTCACTTGGTTTAATTTCCATCTTCAACAAAATAAGTTATCAACTGCTAATTAATTTGTAATTTGAGCTGAAACTCAAGTAGTTTGACCTTTAATGCACCCTGTTGACTATTCTTTTATAATATATCACTCATTGTTTTTCTAATAATCGCAACACTCGCCATCTATTGCAAATAAATTGCTAGTGAGCAAGTCTGTACAACAATACAAAGTTTTGTTTTCATCCAACATCATGGCAGCTTTGACGTAAATTCAGTCTGGTTTAAATCTTTAATTTACGTTCTTTGTCTCGTTAATAGAAATGCAAATAAATAAATTCAACTTCTACATTAAAATTTGTTTTGTTGCAGGATAATTTATGCGCGTTGCTATGTGCACTGACATGATCTGGAAACAACTGTTTTTTCCATTGTTAGAAAAGCTTAGGCCCTTTCTTTTCCTTTCCCAAGCTGTGTAGATGTATAAATGAATATCCCTTTGTTATTCATTGTCAATAACTCCAGATCCTTGACGACAAAATTYTTGATAAAAAATGTTTTGTTCGTCAAAGAAGACCTTGCATTTTCTGTTCTTGTTCCTGTTTTTTCATCGCTTCTTGAGCTTCTTTCTGCATGTTTTCCATCTTCTCTAAAGTYACTGACTTCATAGGCATTATTTTAGGTTTACAAAGCACTGGCGTTGCTGTCTGCTCAGTGAATAACAATCCTTGTTTGGGAAGAACTTCCTTCAACACAAGTTTCTCGCTCGCCATCTTGAAATTTGTTTATTTGAAAATCCGCTGAGCATGACTGATGAACCGCAGGCTATTTCGTATTAAAGTAAAAGAAAGAGACGGGTGTTGCAATGATCTTTTCTGGAGATTTTAAAAAGATACTTATGAATGTAGTGTTTMGGGGGATTTTCCGCTTTTTAGAATAATATTTTCAGGCAATGATGGGACAATTATCCCAACCGGCTTTTCGGATKAACCGTTTCTTTCATCTGGTTATCAGTGCTTTTCTCATTTACCTCAAAAGTATCGCCCCCGCCAGCCTTTCATTTTTCTCACCGCAGTGCTCGCCCCGTTACTCGATTAAATTATACTGTAAACATTTTATGCTAAAATAGTCGACAGACGCGTTGGGAAAACGCCTGCACATGCCGAGAAAAACTCTAACCATCATGTCAGGATGTGTAGTGAAGCGCTCATTCAGTCGCTCATTTCATTTGTATTTTTATACATCAATTCTTCCCATTCCGCCTTTGATTTATTGTTTCTGTTCATTTTTTTTCGTTTCAAGCGACATTCGTTGACCAATTCTCTTGCATATTTCTTTCTTTCATTAATTCATCCATCCATTTATTCAATGATATAGTTATTCCACCACGAGATCTATCCACATTCCTGAGTGTATTTCATTTATTTGATATATATATAGGTTACACTGGTTGATATTTGCCCTAGTCAGTGAACATCTCTCAATCATTCAATTCCTGGCGACTCGTCTCTGCCTCGAAGATTACATTGAACATTATAAACACTCGAACCTGACACAACCTCTACTAATTTCTATATTCCTCGCCATTCTTAACGTCATTTTTGGTGCTTTGTGTCATTATTTTGAATTCAGCAAGGTAACAAGGTGTGAATTCTAATTGTGGCCACTATTAAAATTGATTATTTCTCTAATTTTCACGAGTCTTATTGTTTCTGAAACTCATTACAGTAACATTTTAACTATTTTTTTACAGTCTATGGTATATAAATAGCTTTTAATGACAAGTTAAGGATATACTGTAAAAGTGACGGCAGGACAATGGCTGAAGTCCAACAATAGGAACACTCGTTTTCGTATTTCATGATTATGTTGTGGTTACATCGGTCTTGAATAAATCGAAAAAGAATTTTATCTTTGTTACCCTAAAAGAAAATTAATTGCAGAAGAAACAAACTGATCGGTGAATTTCTTTGCCGACAAGTGTCACGCAGAATCTAATTAGCAGTTTTAAGAAAAATCACTGCCTCAAGTCCAGACGCAGACCACAAAATGACTCCTTCATTATGAGCTAAAAAGAGTAGCATTATCGAAAGCTGATGTTTGTGGTGAATAAGAAATCATGTGAAGGTCGTTCTGCATTTGCAAATCAACCGTGATCGTCACATTGCTGTATTTTGGGTGCGGTGAAGGGGCCAAACGATGACGTGAATGTAACATAGCGACAAAGAACCAATCAAATAGCGCGCTGATTCAAATAAACCAATCACAGGACAGATATCACGTGCACAAGGCAAATTTTCTACTCGTTTTCTTCTTCTGTTTGCGAGAAGCCAAGAGCTTCGAAAATAAAGATTGAAAAGCCTTGTTTGAAGGCGTGTAAAGATTCAATTTCTGCAGTATTTCAACCAAGTAACCTTAGCCAAGGAGTGGATTCCACGCAAGCAGACCGACTCTTCATGTTGGTAGCTCAAAGGGCGAATTTCTCGTCGGTAAATTGACCACCTTTTGAACAGGCCTCGTTTGATTTGTAGACCAACACAGCATCGAGCCGCTTTCATCAAGTTTCTATAGAATTCTTGGTTCGCTGGTCGACCTCAGTCTACAAGTCAAACGTACTCGAAGCTAGTCTCTGGTCAGAATCTCGCATTCAAAGCTATAAATTGAAATCAGCTGTGTATTGTTCTGGTTTGTCATTATACTAGCTGTACGACTGTCCTCGGTAGTTCGTGGACTTGAACTGTTTGCAAAGAAGAAAACATTTGCAAGTTTTGGTAACTAGATAAGAATTTGACAGTCATCACGTTTATCATACTGTAGTTCAAAGTATAAGGACTAGACTTTGGAGGGACAAATTTCACTCGATCCATCTTGTCAGGACCTGTTCTGTTGTCCAAGAGAGCGCTCCCCAACTTCAGTAGTGTTTCTGTGATTTATTTAAGGTATAATTGCTCAGATTATGGACGATCAGACTAGAACAGAAGAGAAAATGTCTCTTCATTCGCATGATTCAATGGATTTTAGTGCGAAAGCAGACTTCTCAGACATTTCAATTGCGGACCTTACTAAGCTTATGAAATGCCGAGGGGTGGAGGCGAGAGAACATTTATTGAGCATGGGCGGTTTACATACACTGGTAAGAAAACTTCATACATCTACCGAGAAAGGAATAACTGGATTCCCTGAGGATATTGAACATAGAAAGACGGTATTTGGCTCGAATGTGATACCCGCCAAACCACCTAAAACCTTTTTTGAGTTCCTAGTAGATGCCTTCAAAGACACGATCCTTGTTATTCTTACGATCGCCGCTGTAGTTTCTTTGTTGTTAGGAATATTTGCGCCAGAACACTGTGGAGGTGCRGAAGATAACACCGGCTGGATTGATGGCTTTGCTATCATTGTTGCAGTTTTTATCGTGGCTTTTGTCACCGCCATCAATGACTACCAGAAAGAACAACAGTTCCGTGGCTTGCAGAGCAAGATTGAGGGGGAACATAAGTTTACAGTGATTAGAAATGGAGAGCCTTCAGAAATCCTCAATTCAGAAATCGTGGTAGGTGATTTATGCCAAGTTAAGTATGGCGATTTATTGCCTGCTGATGGTGTTGTTGTYCAGTGRAATGACATCAAGGTGGATGAGAGCTCGCTGACTGGAGAATCTGACATGGTCAAAAAGGGTGACAAAGACCCCCTCTTCCTGGCAGGTACCCATATCATGGAAGGAAGTGGTAAAATGATTGTCTCTGCCGTTGGTTTAAATTCCCAGTCTGGAATAATTTTCTCCTTGCTTGGAGCAACTGCTATTGATCATAAGGATCCAAATGTAGTTGATGCACCCCCKCAGTCACCAGCAATCAAAAATGCCACTGGAAGCGCTGACTTTGAAGACATCAATTTAGATGATGAGGGTGAATCATCAGCTGAGAATGGAAAGAAAAAAGAAGAAAAACAAGAAAAGTCAGTTTTGCAGTCCAAACTGACAAAACTTGCCGTCACGATTGGCTGGTTTGGTGTAGCGGCTGCTCTTTTGACTATCGTAGTAATGGTATTGCAGTTCAGTATACGTACATATCATGTTGAAGGCAAAAGCTGGGATAATACTCATTTGAATGCCTACGTAAGAGCATTTATTACAGGTCTTACTGTTCTGGTGGTAGCAGTCCCTGAAGGACTCCCTCTCGCAGTGACTATATCTTTAGCATATTCAGTAAAGAAGATGTTGGACGACAATAACTTAGTCAGGCATTTAGATGCGTGCGAGACCATGGGCAATGCAACAGCAATATGCTCTGACAAAACTGGAACTCTTACTACAAATAGAATGACGGTAGTTCAAGTTTTCCTTGGTGACACCCACTACAAGAGTATTCCAAGAGCAAGTGACTTAACCCCTGAACTTGTTAATATCCTGTGTAAAGGAATAGCTTTAAACAGCAGTTATGCAAGCAATATTGTGGTAAGTCATCTTTCTATATCATTCATATTTATATAAAATTAACAACTAGAATATATGGGATTATGTTTTGTTGTCAAAACAAAATAAAATAAGTAATTTTCATAGCCTTCAATTAGAAATCATACTTCAATATATTATAAAGAAGGACATGTGATTTAAAATAATCAAAAATCTAGAATTTAAGAGCATATGGCATTTTTTTAATTTTAATAGCAAAACATTATCAGTATTGAAGATTAGGTATTGTTTTTGTAACATACAATATTTGAAGACAAAAGTCTGCTCACTAAATCCTTTTGGAAGGGTTGCCATTTAGAATTCAAATAAAATATGTTTTTTTTTTTATGAGAGCCCTACCTGGAAATGTAACTGAAGATTAAGTATTGTATTCCCTTTTGGACTAAAGCATTTGCAGTCTAAAGTCTCTTCACTTATCTTAGCTTTCAGAAAGGAAGTGTCAGCCAATTTTTGTGTGTTGATATTGATTTTTCATTTTGTTAAAACAATCCAACAGCCCTTTTGAACACCCCTTATCGATAATGTATTATTGTATTATAAACTGCTGAGATTTGCAAACAGAATACTTGGTTTAAAACATTGAAATGACAAGACTACTTATTCACTGTCTAGTGTTTACTYAAAAAATTACTTTGGCACAAATGTTTTTGTCATGTGTCATTCATTGATTTAAATATTTTTGGACTAAGTATAATATTGAGTGCATTTGATGAACAGAATACCTATTGGTAACAAAGAAAACTTATCATATTGAGATTGAATTTGATTTCCAATATGATAAAAAGTCTATATCTGTTTGCTGAGTTGTAACTTTGGTGGCTTTTTAAAAAGCATTAATACAACAGTGTCTAGTTGATAGTTTAGACATYAATTGAATGGAATTGTCTTTTCCATTTGTACTGTATATTCAAGTTGAGAGAATGTTTATTCTTCCATAAAATAGATGTAAAAAGATCAAAAATGTCCCCGTTTTTATTCAGCTTTTTATGATTTTTGAAAGAGATCATTGGCACTGATACAAGTGATGGTGTCTTTGATTGGCTAATTTTGCAGTCAAGAAAAAGTAAAATGATTCTCATGTTTCATGGAAATTCAAATAGATTTGCAGGGAGATATCGCACACCTGAACACATGGGTAGGAAAATCTACATTATCCGTGATGAAAGATGAATAATACACCTCCTCATTTAGATTACATAATGTGCTTAAACTGAAAAGAAAGGATTTATAAATGTCTATAAAATATATTCATGTTTATAATTCATACTGTGTTCTCTCTATTGAATTTKCCTTTTAGTGATTATTTTAGCATAAGTCAATTTGTTATTCTAAAACAACAGGATTTTGTATTCATGATTGTTATCATCTCAGTATTTCAAGACTCCACAGAGACTTCAGTGTATGTATAAAGAAAACAGCATGGTTTTTTAATTGTTGGGAAAAAACATCTCTAACTTCTCTTACCAAAATTGAATAAAATTCTAGTTCTATAAAATCACAGTTTTAAATATCAACAAAATCATGAATACTCATTTAGTCTCTTATTCTTGAGACAATGCTGATRTTTTTTTGTTGTTATGAAAATCAACGTTGTTTTGCYATTGTTGTTGTMMTTTTTTTTTACAAATGTTGGGWTTCAACACTTCCAGTGGATTGCTGCAACTTCTAACATGAAGATGAGTCATTTTTTACTTATCTACACAATCTRTTGGCCCTTGACGTCAAGTCCAGAAGGAAACACTCATCTTTGCCTAATCTAGACATATTTTTTACATGAAATTTGGTCCTTTGAGGAAAGCAATTGAGAAAGTATTTGCGGCATTGGATTCAAGTGTATCTAGAAAATTATGAACAGCAAATCGTAAACAAAAAAGCTTTTGGTTTTTTGTTGGTGTGATAATTCATTAAGGCTTTTTCTGACTGAGATACAAGTAATTATACATATTTGCTTGGAGCTTCACCTCAATGCTATTAGTTATTTATGAGTTTTTGAATTTGATTATTACCCTTGCAGGCAGCAGAGGTCTTCTTGTYTTACTTTGCTGAATTTGACARAYAAATACTTGGTATAGATTAGACTTGTTGACAGCTCTTATTTGCTGCTGGTGAAAGACATCTAAAATGTTGTAATTCCAATTATCAAATCAACAGAAATATTTTTACARGGSTAATGGCCAATGTCTTCAAATCATYTRWRACAGATTCACATTTTGTGGTCTTCTAGGTTTCATCTAAGCAAATACAGTGAGAGCTCTGTAATTGGCAGATGATTTGATATGCAGTTTGATTTATTTACGCAGGGTCTTTTGAAAATATTTCTCTAGCAGTTTTGYATTCCTCAACTATTTTGYCCATCATTTGTTGACAATATGTACATAATTTGATATTGAAATAATGTCAAACCTTTTGCTTTTAAATGAGATTTTCAGCTTTGAAAGAATATTCAAAATGCAACTGTTTAATTAATTGGCTGTTTTTAATATTTGGATTTTAATTCATTGTTAAATTATTGAGTGATTAAGAATATTTCTTACTTTATATGATTATTATTGTTATGAGGTCAAGTTATTTATGAATGAACCTAATTCCCTGTCAGCAAGAACTGACACATTGACCACCTCAACGTGAATGTTGATTGAAGTGGATCCATAGAAATGCAACCAAAATATACTTGATGAATTTGTAAAATCATTCTTGTGATCAAACAGATTTAACATATTCTATTGATGAAACTCTTTTGCATGTGTTGATAACATCTAATATTCAATTACAGATTATAGAATTGGCTGTGAAAACATGAAACACTATATTGTATTTGTACATGAAACAATGTCTGGAGTGTAAGCAWTCTTGCTAATMTCGCTATCACCCAATTAGACTGAAGTTGGAACAAAACACATTTAGGATGTCAATCTCAAAACGTTTTGATTTTAGAAATACATGCAGTATTCCCAGTGGGTACATTTTACTAATTTTGTTTGTGGCAGCACATTATTGATTAATAATTATTAATAAACATATATATGCTATGGTAACTGTACATGCTTTATTAATGTAATTATTATGACAATTAAGTAGGCAAATATTTGAACACAAATATAATAATTAGAACAACATTGTATACATTCTTTACATACAATTCTCTTCATGGATGCTTTAAGATATGTCCTTCCTGTGAAATCACTTTAGTCAAATACTCATCTAATTATAAGTAATAGAAGTTGGCTAAGCATATTAAAGAAATAAACTCTTTTATTTTGAGAGGGTAGCGCGTAATAGTCTCTAGACTAGTAAACTTGTGTCCCACTATATATTCACTCACACTCACTACCTCAACATTCATTATTTTACTACACGACACTCCTCACAACTAGTTTTTGACTGAGGGAGGAAAACCAGCGTACCTGGAGAAAAACCCTCGGAGCAAGGAAGAGAACCAGCCTACAAACTCAAATCACATATAGTCCCGGACCGGGAATCGAACCAGGACCACAGCGGTGATAGACTGGCGTTTTAACCGCTCGGCCATCCTTGCTCCACATTGTCTTTTACCTTTTCATTTTGTCTTTATGATAAACAAAACTCTTTATAGTGTGTGTTTTTATTTAACAATAATATCTTTTTCCCACAAGCCTCCACAGGAAAGCAAAAATGAAAGGCTTCCAACACAAGTTGGTAACAAGACAGAATGTGCATTGTTYGGTCTTGTGCTGGAATTGGGAGAAACRTACCAAGACTTCAGAGATGTCAATCCAGAATCTACCTTTGTTAAGGTTTTCACTTTCAACTCTGCAAGAAAGTCTATGTCAACAGTCATTCCTCTAGAGGGTGGTGGGTTTAGATTGTTTACCAAGGGAGCCTCTGAGATGGTACTTCGYCTTTGCACACAAATTCTGGATGCAAAGGGTGAACCTCAAGGCTTTGGCAAAGAAGATCGTGATAACTTAGCCAACAAYGTCATTGAACCAATGGCTTCTTATGGTTTGAGGACCATTTGTCTTGCATACAGAGACTTTCATCCTGGTAAGAGTACAATCTCATTAATGTGTCAGAATCTCTTATGATCATCTTTTTACACGACGATAGGATTTTATGTTTAAAATCTGTCAAAATAGAAGAATGATATAACTGCTTCAATTATCAAATATTTAAGTTTATTTCCAGATAATAACCTGAGATAGCTGTATCTATTATGACTATTTTGTGTCTTTGCTTTATCTGTTTTGTTCTTCTTCTTTTTGTCTGTGTGTTTTTTCTTTTCTTTGAAGCATCAAAACAAAAGCAGATACCATATTTTGTTTAAWTTCAGAACCAGGCCAAGACATTGACTGGGATGATGAACCTACCATTCTTTCAAACTTGACATGCATTGCAATATCTGGTATTGAGGATCCAGTTAGAGATGAGGTGAGTCACATAATTTGGTCTGCATTAGATTTTGTATTGAATGTACAACACTTTCACTATGTGACTTGGAATTAATTTAGATATTTTACTGATGAAACTACAAGGAAATGCGGCCTGTTTGCATGTTGTCAATTCTGTGAATCAATTCACAYTTTAAAATTAACATTTAAGTTGTTATGATATTGCTGTTCAAGCTTTGTTTTTACTTAAAGAGGCTATCTTATAATTTGAGACGTTTGAATACCTTTATTTCTGCCCTAGGTTCCTGACGCCATCTTGAAGTGTCAGAGAGCTGGCATTGTGGTWCGCATGGTGACTGGTGACAATGTCAACACTGCAAGATCAATTGCGAGTAAATGTGGCATTCTTCAACCTGACAAAGATTTCCTTGTTCTTGATGGTAAACAGTTTAACYTGCTGATTAGAGATAAATCAGGCAATGTAAGTCACCAAGGTGTTACTAGTGATAAAAATATATATTATTTTCTCTATTCTTGCGAAGGAATTCCTTATAAACAATAGAATCATGATTCAGTCACACATTTATAATATTAATCTTTCAGGTAAACCAGAAGAAGTTTGATGAAATATGGCCTAAACTACGAGTCCTTGCTCGATCTTCTCCTCAAGACAAGTATGTTCTTGTGAAGGGAATCATCGACAGCAAGCTTAATCCAGCAAGAGAAATAGTAGCTGTGACAGGAGATGGAACTAATGATGGACCGGCACTCAAGAAAGCTGATGTGGGATTTGCAATGGTATTTAACAGTCTTAGATTTATTTTGTGATACAGCATTTATCAACAAGGATACTGTATGTAGAAGTSAATGTTTAAACAAGGATGGTCATAAGTGATAATAAACCCAACAATTAACAAAGTTAACATTTTCAACATGAGATGATATATAATACGTACATATCCCATGTCATTCTCTTAATTACCCTTGAAGACTCTTTGTTTGGTTGATGATTCCCCAATGTTTTGAAGGATAATCTTGATTTGTCAATAAAATGTGTATGAAAAGCCACATCACAGAGTGAGATCTGAGAATACTCAAAGCTACAGTATTCCAAACAATTATCTAGGATAATTTGATAAAATATCTGTACTTGTTTACATAGGGAATTGCTGGAACAGARGTAGCCAAGGAAGCATCTGACATCATCCTAACAGATGACAATTTCCGTAGTATTGTTAAAGCTGTWATGTGGGGAAGGAATGTGTATGATAGCATCTCGAAATTCTTGCAGTTCCAACTGACAGTCAACTTGGTAGCCATAACTATTGCCTTTATTGGTGCTTGCACAGTTGAGGTGAGACATCTTATCAAACTGCCGAACTCATTAATTGAAAATGAAAATGGACAAATAGCTCAAAATAACATGTAAATGCTATTAAAACTCCCAATAGGTCAATAACAGATATGGAAATTCATCAGARCATTCATTTATTTTATCTTATTCATTTATTTTTTAACATATTTATTTATTTTGTATTGTACCCCAGGTCAGTCCGCTAACAGGAACACAGCTTCTATGGGTTAATCTTATCATGGACTCCTTTGCATCATTGGCCTTGGCAACCGAGCCACCCACTGAAGACCTTTTGACAAGAAAGCCCTATGGTCGCAACAAACCATTGATATCCAGAACCATGATTCGTAACATCCTTGGTCACGCTGTCTACCAACTAATAGTCTTGTTCGTTCTTGTATTCAAAGGTCATGATTTTTTTGATATTGAATTTGGTTTTGAACCGTCAACACGCTGCAAACCTACCAGCCATTCTGCCATTATCTTTAATACGTTTGTCATGATGCAGCTATTCAATGAAATCAATTCACGTATGGTACATGGAGAGAGAAATGTCTTCAAGGGAATCTTTAGAAACCCTATATTCGTCGGTATCTTTGTTGGTACA